GATCTAATTGGTACCGAGGATACAATTACGCATTGACAAAAAAGATCTTAACAAATCAGACCATTGTGGGCTCAATAATATAAACATCAATAGGTAATAATCCTTGATACCATTTAATCAGTATGAAACTGTAAAAAAACTGTGCATATGTGCAAAAAATAAAAAATGAAAATGCATATACGTTAATTAGAATGCTGCAGTAGGAAATAAATAAAACTATAACAACGAAAAATATCATGTTAAAAACCAATGTAAAAGGTAACTAAAAAATTGTAACGAATACCAATAGCATTAAAAATCTAAGACCCACTACAATACTTGACATTGTCAAAAACCAACAACGTAAGCATTCAGACTAACGAAAAGAAGAGTCAATAGAAACTAACAATCATTAAATCTACTGCATACATTCTCACATAACCAATATAAACAAATATATACAACATAATAAAACGTAACACGACTATCTAACATTTCAGAAACAACAAAAAATGAAGAAAAATGGTATAAAACACGTACACAAAATCAACCAGAAAACGCACACACACCCATGCCACAACAAAAAAAAGAACAAGAAACTGTAGTAACAGAGGAGTATACGACAACATTTGAGAGCGACGAAAATAAAGGAAATAAGCAAAGAAAGACAAAAAAAACAATAATTAAAAATATAAACGAAAAAAAAGGAGAAGATAGTACAGTAATAATTGAAGAAGAAATAGACATAGATGAAATCAAATCACCATTTCAATCCGCAGAGAGCTTATTAAACATAGAAGAAATATGCGACAATGCTAATTCGGAAACAGAATCAAAAAATACGGCAGAACCATCAAAACCAGATTATCTTGCTTCCAACACTAACCTCTTCCTTGAGCGGACAAGTTGTGTTTTACAGGATGCCAATAGAGGCCCATCAAACAATATTAGTGCAGAACAAGTAAAACCACCTGTCACGAAAGATCACGAAACTCCTGTGGAAGACGCTATGCTTGGAAAAACCACTTACCTTATACCAATAGCTAAAGAAAAGCCTACTGACGATACAATTACAAAACAGGTAACTGTATCCGAAACTTTAACGCCTAATAGTAAAAACGTTAAAATTACAAAGAAGACACTTACGAGAAATAAAGGCAAGAAGCAGCAAGTGACTGAAATTGTCACAGTCGAAGAAGAAGGAAAATCTCCTGTTACGACTGTTTACGAAGTACCAGAAGAAGTTAGGTTTGACGAAACAACCAGTCTTCTTCCTGTAACAGAGTACGAGACACCTGCAGAAAGTGAGGAGGTAAAGGAACAAGTGACTGTGGTCCAAGAAACAACGCCTGAAGGCAAAGACGTAAAAATAACAAAGAAAAAAGTGACGCACAAAAAAGGCAAAAAACAACAAGTTACTGAAATTGTTACTGTCGAAGAAGATGGGAAGCCACCTGTCACTACAGTTTACGAAGTTCCTGTCGAAGATATGCTTGAGGAGACTTGTCTTTTACCGGTTGCTGAAGAAAAGACGTCTGAAGACGAAATCACAGAACGAGTTACTGTATCAGAAACTTTAACGCCTAATGGCAAGAACGTTAAAATTACAAAGAAGATGCTTTCGAGACAAGGGGGCAAGAAGCAGCAAGTGACTGAAATTGTCACAGTCGAAGAAGAAGGAAAATCTCCTGTTACGACTGTTTACGAAGTACCAGAAGAAGTTAGGTTTGACGAAACAACCGGTCTTCTTCCTGTAACAGAGTACGAGACACCTGCAGAAAGTGAGGAGGTAAAGGAACAAGTGACTGTGGTCCAAGAAACAACGCCTGAAGGCAAAGACGTAAAAATAACAAAGAAAAAAGTGACGCACAAAAAAGGCAAAAAACAACAAGTTACTGAAATT